CAAGGATTGTAGCTAGTTGCATCATTGAAGATGAAACATTGGATACTTTTAAGTGGATTTATGAAACACTGCTTGAGGAAACTAGTGTCATTTCTATGGTAATATTGCCAATAGTAATCCCGCAATAATAAATGCAATTAAGTTAGTATATCCCACCACTAGTCATATGTTATGCATATTTCACATAGATATAAACCTTAAAAAAAAATTAAAAGGAAAATTAGGCTCTCAATTTGCATTATTTCATTCTGATTTTTATACCTGCCATAATAGTTTATGTGTAAACCTTTTTGAAGCTCGCTAGACAAAACTATTGGCTGATTATCCAACTGTAACAAAGTATTTAACTGATATACTTTACTGTACTAAAGAGTCATGGGCAGTTCCATAGATTTACAAACAATTTACTGAAGGGATACAAAGCACACAGAGAGTCGAATCTATTAATATGCATATACACAAAAAAGTTGATCATGCAACCTCACTGTATAATTTATTAATTAATCTTAAAGATTATGAAAATCAAGAAGAACATTTGATGAAATTTGAGATTCAGCGCAATATGCTTCCATCTGTTGGTTTACCAATGTTAAATAGCTGTTTTTTCAGTCAAGTTAATGATATATTAAAGAAATTTCTTACACCGATTATGCTTGGTAAACAGAGGGATCAAATGAATGCAAGTGTCTGCTATGATTTTATACAAGTTTATAATTGGCATAGTTTAATTGAGGTAAGGATTCATAACTAATATGTAGATTTGATACTATCTTAATTTATTTATTATTATTTTTACAGAAAGACATTAATAATGAAGAAATCGGGCTTTGGATTAGAGAACAGGATTATGACACAAGACAAATTTTATTTACATTTTTAATTGAATTAATATCAGAAGAAATGATTACTCAAGTCTGGCATGTTTGTGCTACTGGAACTATAGGGCATGGTCATTATGTAATACTCCTTAAAGATGGTACACATTTATGTACCTGTCTTCTTTTAATGAATAAAGGTTTAATTTGCTGTCATTTTTTTCGAGTTGGTACATATTCAACATTGGCAAAATTTCATATAAATCTTATTCCAAGCCACTGGTACTTAGATCCTAATATTACTCCAAATGACCTTTTTCTTCAAATGCCTGCGATTTCTATTTCTGTGCCTGTTCAACAAGAACCTATGGTTGATTTAAATTTAACATTTAATCAGCTTATTACAATTCGATCTAATATTAATGAATCTAACTCTAAATGAAAGCCATCCAAGACAATTTATGCGGAACTATTTGGATTATCCAAAAAAGTAGTTGATGTTGCGATTAAAGCTAATGCTTACAAAGAATTATCTGAGGTTTTAAAAAACTTTCTTTGTGAAACACAAAGCAAAGTAAATGATCAGCAACAAGATATAGATAGTATTAATGTTATTAATTCATCTATCACAAAACACAAAAAACGTCCTCCTAAAAGATTTAAATCTGCCGTTGAGTCTAAAGGAAAGTATCCATTAAAAAATAGTACACAACTTAATATAGTTAATAAAAATCCTAATGAAAATAAAAAGGGTTTAGATTTTAATAAAGGTCAGAAGTACAGTAAATGTGGTCAAGCAGGTCATTATGCTAAAACTTGTACAAAAAATGAATAATCTTATGTATGCAGCCAAAGTTGGTCTTTAATTAAATTTAATTAGTAGATGTGATCAGATATTATGCTAATAATTATTGTCTACGTATTGGTATTACTATATTGTGAATTTACTCAATTGATTAACTTATTTATTATATCTAGCTATTGTATAAAAAGTTCATATTTTCGTAATTATATGCACTATATTTCATTAGTTAAAAATAAACCACAAGTTGATAATACATTTTCTATTAGAAAGTAATAGGACTAAGATAGTATTCAGTTTAATAATTAGGGTTAGAAAGCATCAGTATTGTGTATTAAGTTTACAAGTTATTGTTATATCTTGAAGGTATTGGCTAATTTAATTAGCTAATTTGTGTTACACAAATTATGTAAATATACCCCATGTACAAACACCCTGTGTACAAATAGAAATTGCCTATCTTTAATATATAGTATATTAATATATACAACTAAAATTATTAATAAAGATATGAGCAAGGTCTCATCTTAACACCAAAAAAAATTAATAATTATAAACATTAAGTTACTCTTAAAATTTTAAAAAAATATAATAATATATTTTATATATATATAAATCTATAGATTATCAAATATATCAACAAAATATTATTTAAAATGATAAAAAAATTTTATTAGTAAATTAATAATATATCTTTCTATAATTAATCTAATCTTCAAAATATAACTAAAGTATTATAAATTTATTAATAAATATTTTTTTTATAATATTTTTATTTACTAGATAACATTTTAGTATTTAGTTTTGAATATTATTTAAGATATAACAAATTTATAACTATATATAAATTATCAGCTTATTATTATATTATCAAATCATACATATTTATTTAAATATTAGCCAATTATCTATAAAATAATTAGTTTGAATATTTTGATTATTATTTGAATTTATTTTATGATTTATATAATATAATATATATTATTTAAATATCATTTAAAATAATAAAAAAAATTTTATTAACAAATTAATAATATATCTTTTTATAATTTATCAAATTTTAAAAATATATATATAATATCATTAAAATATCATTTTATATTTTTTTATAATATCATTATTTTTTAGATGATATTTTGGTATTTTTTACTGATTATTATTTGAGATGTAACAAATTATTCAACTATTTTTAATATATCAGCTTATTTTTACTTCCTTCTAATCTTATAATAGTTAACAAACTATTAATCTGCTATTGATTAGATGATTATTTGATAATATTTAAATTATATTTTTAATTTTGACCTATGATAAATAGTTTAAAAGACAAAACTATATATAAAATATTTGAAAAAATTATAATAATAATACTTTCTAGTTATAATAATGATTTATTATTTTAATTAAATAAATAAAGTTATATTACTGTTTTTTTAATTTTTAATTATATTGTACATATATTTTATATAACTATTTTTTATATACAAAAATGAATTAAAGATTATAATGAATTAGTAAAATACTAATTTATATAACTTTAATTTAAAAATAGAATTTTAAATATGGATATAAGACAATAAATTTAATAATCTTCTAAATTCATATATTTTCTATTAGTCAGCTCCCAAGCAAATCAGAAATAAAAAAAATGCTTATATGTAAGATATTTAAATACTTAATATCTTTTTTATAAGTAGCTTTAAATTTTTGCTAATAATCTTATCATTATTTAATTAAAATAAGATAGAAATTCTAGTATTATAAATTATTATATAGTTTTTTTGTTCAAAATAAACTATAATCTGAAACTTTGTATTAAATTATATAATATTTATTATAGGTTTTTATTCTTCTATATAAAAAATATATAAAAAGTTAAAAATATATAATGATACATATTAACAAAGTTAATATTTATTAGAATTATACTCAAGAAATTTCTTATTAGATAATATAATTAGAATTTATGTTTTTTATTTATATTTTATCTTTTTTTTTTTATACATTTAATTTATTATATTAACTTGCATATATTACTTACACTATTGACTCAATGCTAAAAACTCTGACATATCATTTGATTTCATTATATTTTTTGACAAAACTTAAAGATCATTTCTACCTATATAGAGTTGAATTGAAATTTAAATATACTTTTAATTCTTCATATCAAAACTATTTGTATTATTATTCAGTTTAAACTTATAATTAATAAAATAAAAATGATATAATATTTATTTAAAGAACAAAAAACTTAAAATATTTAAAATATAGATGTATTAATGCTATAGATGTTTATTCATCAGATATAATAACATTATTAATGTTAAGTAATTTATCTGTATAATTATGGAATCTTAACTTATGAAAAGTGAATATTAATAAATTAAGTATATAGAAAAATTTATTAAGGATTGATTATATTTTAAAGATATTTTCTATTTTTGAAAATTTAAAATATGTTGTATTAATTTGTTAAGTTTTAATTATATTTATTTTTTTATAAAAACAAATATATATTTTTTTAATATACCCCAGTATCACTATTAAAATTTTCAATAAATCATTAAATAAGTTGATTTTTTAAAAACTTTAAGCAAAAGTTTCTTAACAACTGCCTAACCAATTTTAATGAATTTTTTTTTATTTAAATTCTTCAAATATGTAGAATTCAAATAAAAATTTTTCATTGAAATTAGGTTAGATGATTATTAAGAAACATTTACTCAAAGTCAAAGCAAATCTATCTATCCTGACTATAAACAGTTATTTGATTTTTTTTAAAACTTTGAACAAAAATTTTCAACAACCATCTAACCAATTTCAGTAAAAAATTTTTCTATTCTAATTCTACATATTTAGAGATTTCAAATAAAAAAAATTCATCAAAATTGGTTAGATGGTAATCACAAAACCTTTACTCAAAGTTGAAGCAAATGTGTCCCGCCTATAAACAGTTATTTGATTTTTTTAAAAATTTGAGTGAAGGTTTCTCAACAATCACCTAATCAATTTCTATAAATTTATTTTTATTCGAATTCTACATATTTGCAAATTTAAATAAAAAAAATTTATAGAAATTAGTTAGGTGGTTGTTAAGAAACCTTTGCTCAAAGTTTTAAAAAAATTAACTTATTGTATGGTTTCTTATTGGTCGATTATCACATGATTTCAAACTTCTTTGGGTGGTGATTTTTGGCCCGAATTAAGCTTATAGCAGAAACTGATGAGGGATTATATCCATCACAATTGAATCCAATATAAATAATTTAACTTGTGATTGATCACAGGTGAGAGGATTCACTTTGGATCAGGCACTATCTCTGCTGTAAATTAAGTATAATTTAGGCAAAATTAAGCTTAATTCTGGCCATAATTTTTAACCCACACCCTGGGGTGTTATTTCGGGAATGGTATACTCTGTTCCTGATATAAATATGATGAATTCATAGAATAGACTATCCAATCAGATACAAGAAATATATAACACTTCACTCACCTGTAAATGTACTTCGTACTCTGTTCCTGGTATATATTGTTATGATGGTAACGTGAGTAAGGTGTGATAATAGGAAGTGCGACGGGCTGTATGAAACTTAGAATCAATAATCAACAACAATGTTGTTGAAAAGGTATGTTACACTTTGTGCATAACACTATGCAAGAATTTATAACCTGCATAATAGTTTATATTTTAATCATTATATGAATTTTAATTCTTGCATTAAAATTATAAAATTACAAACTCAACAATTCAGCTTTTCGCTCTAAATTATATTACGCTAAGTGTGTGACGCTTATGCAAGAATTTAAAAACCAAATAGTTAAATTGATCCCTACTCACCCACTCTTGATATTCTGAACATTCTGTTATCAGTACTAAAAAAAAAAATTCAATAAAAAAAAATTATATTTAATAAAAAAAAAATTATATTTAATAAAAAAAAAATTATATTTAATAAAAAAAACTATATATAAAAAATATATGTTATATATATCTGTATAAAATAAGAATTA